TTTCCCATCCATTCCTCTCTTTTTTTTTTTTTTAATAATTTATTTATTTATTGAATCACTGTGGGAAAAGTTACAAAGCTTTCAGGTTTAGGTCTCAGTCATGCAAATATCAAACACATTTCCCTTTACCAATACTTATTTTTTACCACGAACCCCAATAAAACCCCACCTCCCACCCCTCCCAATGCCCCTCACAGGACTCTTATGCTCTGCACTACACTGTGAATGAAATTTGGATCTTGATTGTCGCCTTTGGATCTGACTCTTGCCTCTCCCTTAATTTTACTACCTCCTGCTTTCCCCTTGCCCACTCTGTATCTATTTCTAAAGTTCTCTTACAGATCTTTGGACTTCAAGTCAAGCAGCACATCTTTCTTTTCTTTTTTTTTCCCCCTCGGGTCATGTCTGTCGATGCACAGTAATTAGTCCTGGCTCTGCACTCAGGAATTACTCCTGGCAGTGCTCAGGGAACCATATGGGATGCTGGGAATCGAACCTGAGTTGGCTGCATGCAAGACAAACACTCTACCTGCTGTGCTATCGCTCCAGCCCCTAAGTGCATCTTTCAACTTTTGCTTTAGTCCTTCCAGTTTCTCTGCTTAGAAAGACCCCCCCCACCCCCCTGGGCCTTCATTACTCCCTTATGCTCCTTTCACTGCATTCTGGCTTCTGCTCAAATACCATGTTCTTAGCTCCCCATTCTTTTGTATTCTTCTTTAAGAAACAAATCATTTTTCAGATGTACTGTTTCCTCTGAAGGGAAACAACAAAATGGGAAATGGGATAATGTGTTTGGGAGATTTCATAGATGAGATCATGGGAGGCTTTGAACAATATGAATAGTTTATAGTGTTTGTTTGAATGGTAATGGGAAAGATCATGTAGAGAAGAAGAAAATGAAGGTGCCACAGAGGAAGTTTAGTTTTAGGAGAGAAATTAATTAATTTTGGTTTGAAATTAATTAATTTTAATTAATGAATTAATTAACCCTGACTGTGTTCAGGGTTATTCCTGACTCTGGGCTCAGGTGTAAGCATACTCAAGTGCCTTACCACTACTCCAGTGAGATTTTTTCCCCCCTAATTTTAATTTTTGCAGGGCTGGGGATTGAACTCAGGTCTCCTGCAAGCAAGGCTTTATATATATATATATATATTTTGCTTTTTGGGACACACCCAACAAATCCCAGGGGTTACTCCTGGCTCTGTACTCAGGAATTACTCCTGGCAGTGCTGGGGAGACCATATGGGATGCCAGGGATCGAACTCGGGTCAGCCGTGTGCAAGGCAAACGCCCTATCTGCTATACTATTGCTCTGGTCCCAAGGCTTTTTTGTAATTGAGCTACATTTGTGACGTTATTGAAGATTGGGAAGGCAGGAAGAGAGGAGAACCCACTCCCAAGCGGAGAAGTTGGCTTTTATTAGAACAGGAATGAAAGTGGGGGAATAAGGCAGCTTGGTGGTTAAGATGGAAATGGCAGGAGGAAGTTCTATGTGTCTGAGTATGTTTTCATAAAGTGTTTGGAGGCAGGTCAGTAGCTGTTGTAGGCCTCAGAGAGGATGGAGGAAAGAGGAATGAGACAGTCACTTTAGAAACTAGGAAAACATCTACAGCAGGGACCGGAATGATAGTAGGGTTATCATCACTACAATATACTGTTGGATACTATTCACTACACTACTGCTGGAATTTATTCTTGAGAGGCCTAGAGAGCACCTGAAAGTTCGAGCAGAGAATATTTTGGTGTTAGAAAGATGTTGTGTGAATGTGTCTGATTGTAGCAGGAATAGCAGGATCTGAACAGTAGAATAGAACGGTAGGTCCCATTGCCTGAATGTAATAGGACCCTTGGTCAGTTGTCTGTTTAGATCAGTTCATACAGTTGAACATCACTGGGCAAGGGGCACTGAGGTAGTTGAAAATCTGAGTATCACTTAAATTTTTTTTTATTTGGGGAACACAGCTGGTTGTACTCATGGATCACTCCTGGCAAGAGCCCAGAGACTATAGTCCTTGCCAGGGACTGAATAAGGGCCTCCTCGGTACAAGGCAAGCACTTTAACCCCTGAACTATCTCTTTGTCCCTGAATATAACTTATTTTTATGGGGAGGACACACCCAGTGATGCTCAGGGCTTACTCCTGGCTCTGCACTCAAGACCCACGCCTTCTGTTACCTCGAACCATATATGGTGCCAAAGATCAAACTGGGTTGACGCTGCATGCAAGGCAAGTGATTTTCCAGCGGAGTATAGCTTGATTCGTAAAATGTTATTACAGTTGTTCCTTGGCATCTGCTGCAACCCCACCTCATCCTATAACAAAATCCTGAAGCTCAAGATTTGACCCCTGGGGCTGGAGTGATATAGCGGGTAAAGCGTTTGCCTTGCATGCGGCCAACCTGGGTTCGGCCCCCAGCATCCCATATGGTCCCCTGAGCACGGCCAGGAGTAATTCTTGAGTGCAGAACCAGGAGTAAGCCCTGTGCATCGCTGGGTATGACTCAAAAAGCAATTAAAAAAAAAGATGTGGCCCCTGAGGAGAAAAGGATTTAAATATTTTCATTTTGGTTTACTCCTAGCTCTGTGCTCCCAGATCACACCTGGTAGTGCTTAGGGGACCATTTGTGATACGGGGATCAAACCTTGTTCTGGTACATGCAAGGCAAGTGCCCTACCTGCTATACTACTGCTTCACCCCCAATGATTTTTTAACTTAAAAATTATCATATGGAGGGGGCTGGAGTGATAGTACAGCAGGTAGGGCATTTACCTTGCACGCAGCTGACCTGGGTTTGATTCCCAGCATCCCATATGCTCCCCCCCCCCCCCCCCCCCCCCCCCCCCCCCCCCCCGCCCCAGCCCCACCAGGAGTAATTCCTGAGTGCATGATCCAGGAGTAACCCCTGTGCATTGTCGGGTGTGACCCAAAAAGAAAAAAGAAATTATCATGTGGAGCTAGACGAGGGTTTTATATTGTTGTTTTGGGTGTTTTGTTTTGTTTTTTTGAGAAGGCTTTCAGTCACATTGACAGTACTCGGAGCTATTCCTAGCTCTGTGACTCTGGGGTCACTCCCAGGATTCTTCAGCTACACACAGTGCAAATGTCTTATCTATTCTGTCTCTCCTTGTATTAGCTCTCTGCCCCCTAGCCTAGGGTTTGGTTCTTTATTTCGCTTACTTAAAAATAGTGTCAAGTTGGAACCGGTTGGATAGTGCAGGAGGCAGGCTCCTTGCCTTGCATCCAGCCTACCCAGGTTTGATCCCTGGCACTCCATATGGTTCTCCTAGCCCTGCCAGGAGTGATCCCTGAGAATCTAGCAAGGAATAAGCCCTGAGCATTGCTGGGCGCGACCCCCCCCCACCCCCTCCCCCAAATAGCGTGAAGTTAAAATTCCCTATTGAGCTGTTTTTGATAGACTTCTTAGGGAATATTAACTGAAGTAACTTCGTCACAGGTGTTTATAAATCCTTATCAGTTGCTTTTAATATCTAATTTCAAAGTCCTTTCTCCTAAGTCATACTAAGGAAGTCCTCAGTAGTGTTTTATGAATTCATTTTTGAGAATGAGCTTAATTATGCTTCTGGTCCACGGAGTTGCCAGCCGGTAACAAATGTTATATAAAATGGTTAGGTCAGCGGGAGCCATAGCACAGCCGGTAGGGTGTTTGCCTCGTACTTGGCAGTCTCCTCCGACCTGAGTTCGATTCCTCCACCGCTCTCAGAGAGCTCGGCAAGCTACGGAGAGTATCTCGCCAGCACAGCAAAGCCTGGCAAGCTACCCGATATGCCAAACACAGTAACAAGTTTCACAATGGATACTGGGCCCGCTGGAGCAAATCGACGAAGAACGGGAGGACAGTGCAACAGTGCAGTGCTACAGAGAAGCTTGGCACCCTATTCTAGAGTCTTCTCCCATAGTCCCAGCCTTTCCGCGTCTTGTTCTTGAAGTCCCACTGTTCGCTGATTCTTTAGGGTCCTTTCCTTTAGAGTTTGGAGAGGCAGGCTCCTATCAAGAGCCGGTGGGAGAGTGCCCGCAGGTGCACCTGTGCCTGCCCGCGCACCTTGGCCACCCTCACCCCCCACGTGCGTTGGTCTTAGAAGGGGCTCCAGGGAACGGCTAGTTGAGGAGAGAAGGACTGGGCCTTGGCAGTCCCAAGAAACCAGCCACTCTCTCCGCCCAGGGTGCTTCTAGACAAAGCAGAGGAAAGCGTTCGCTTATTTATTCAGCAAATACCCGCAAGCCACGGACCAGTGCCGGGTGCTGAGTAAGAGTGAGTAAGAGCGGGCTCCCTGGGGCGCTCTGGGAAGGTCCGGTTCCCTGGGGCCGCTAGGCCCGGCTGCAGTTAAACACTCCCCGTTTGCCTTAAAACCCTGAGGACGCACTGAGACCTGCGCGGACGGGCGAGGGAGGACGAGACGGGGAAGCTGTGTGCAGGGACAATTTGTCACTGCTTTCCAGGCTGAGTCAGGCCGGCTAGGAAGTTTCGGAACCAAAGCGCATCACTTCCTTTAGGGAATTGCCCGACGGACCCATTCATTACCCCCTTCCTGAGAGCAGCGGCTCCACTACTGGGGCGGAGTGGGGGAAGGGGGTGGGGGGGGCGCCCAGCTTTTTGCAGTGGTACCCCCACCAGGAGAGTACCAGAAGCTCAGGCCCCGCCCTGCACTGGTTACATCAGAATGTCCAAGTCTGGGAGCCGGGCAACGGGGTCGGGACCTTCAAACCCTCTCTGGGGGCGGCCCAGTCCGGCCGGTTCCAGAGTCCCACCCTGCCTGGGGGGTGGCAGAGCCCAGCCCGATTCGCTGAAAGCACACGCCCCGGGGGTTCCGCTCCCTGACCTTCCAGAGCTTCGGCCGGGGTGGACCCTGGGCTGGGGGTTGGGGGACGTCCAGCCGGCGAGGAGCGCGCGCGCCCAGCCCGAGCCGGGCCGCACGCGGCAGGCAGGTTTTTTTGCTTTGTCATCCTGACTCTGGCGGGGCGCCCGCCCGCCCTGGCCAAGGCGTGGCCTGTCGGTAGCCTGTGCTTAGGGAGGCGACGGCCGGGCCACACTCAGTGTGCGGCGGCCCGGCGCGGGGACAGAGCTGACGTCCGAGCGCCCGGCGTGCACGTAAGCCCGGGCCGGCGCCTCCCGGGAGCGCGCGGATGGGTGGGTGGGGGGTGGGGAGAGCTGCTCAGGCCCCGCCGGGGATGCTTGGACCTGGGAGACGTTTGCACGGCGGGCCAGGGAGGTTGCTTGGACCCGCTCCTTGCACCCACCCCCCCCACCCCCCACGGTTGTCAGTCCCGGCGCTGCGCGCGGTGGGGGAACGCGGGCTGCTCTGCTTCCTCGCTCTCCTTTGTGGAGACGGTGCAGGATCGGAGAACATGGGCTCCGGGGCGTCTCAGGATCCCCGAGGCTTGGCAGTGTAGACTGGAAGCTGCCCAAAGCGCTGACAGATCCATAACCGCGCTGGAAGGGCTCCCCGCACTTGCAGGGTGCCCTGCTAGGAACGTGCCCACCATCGCATCTTAAGAGATCCGGGAGAGGTGGGCCAATGCTGTGTGCCTCCATTTTTTTTCTTTTTTAATATTAAAAACCGGCGAGGGCGGGGAAACCGAGGCCCCCGAAACACGTGACTTGCTCCAGGGCTCCAAAGGGGAATGTTGCAGCCCGGGAAAGCCGGACCCCGTGTCTCTCCCTGTGCTGCCGGCCAGTGGAGGCTCGTGGGGTGCAAGTGTGCACCGCGCACGCTTGCCACGACTGGAACCCCGGCCCTGCTTTTTTTTTTTTTTTTTGAGTTCTGCAGCGAGAGCTGCTCGAACGTGGGCGAGGCTCTCGGGAGGCTCCCGGGCCTCAGTTTCCCCGTCTGTGACAGGACCCCGCGAGCAGCGGCCCCAGGAGGGTCGTTGTGAACACCTGATGTCAGTCGGCGCGGGCCGTGGCACGCGTCTGGGCAGCTGTCATCCGGCGCTAGCGTGCTGTAGTGGGGGCAGTGGGTATGGTTGGGGGTATCGGGAACGGGCCAGCTGTCGGTGTAACTGGAGTCTCTTTAAATTCTGACTCACTGGCGCTCTCCTCCGAGGGCGCCCGTTGGTTACACCCGAGCTAAGTCAAGTCGGGTGTTGCTAGGTCGCCTGGAGGTTTCTAGGGGCCCAGTGCCCCAAGTGAGCTGAGCAATTTTTTCCCCCCTCTTTTTCTTTTTCTTTTGCCTGGTGCCTTTAGAGTTCAAAGAAAGCGAAGTTGGATGGGGGCAGTTCTCCCCCGACCGTGGGCTGGCTGGGCGGAGGATGGACGGGGCGGGGAGGCTGCGCCGCCGGGGGAGCCGAGCGCGCGCGGTGCCTTCCGGGCAGCCTTTGGGAAGCGGCTGCGGCGCGCGGCGTGGGGGGCGAGTCGGGTTGGAAACGGAGCGGGCCGCGCGCAGCGCCTTGACCAGCGGGGCGTCCCGGGTCCCCGGCGCTGCGGGGTGCGCGCGGGGTCCGCGCTAAGGTGCGCGCGGGGGCGGGCCAGGGTGCGCGCGGGGACCGTTCCGGGGCGCGCGCGGGGACCGCGGTAGTGCGGGTGCGCGCGGAGGCCGCGCTGGGGTGCGCGCGCAGGCCGCGCTGGGGTGCGCGCGGGTCCCGTCCGGGGTGCGCGCGGAGCCCGCGGCCGGGCCGGGGGCGCGCGGGGAGGCGCGGTTGGGTGGCCGAGGCCCCGCCCCCCGGCGCGCACTTCCCGCCGCCCGCGCCGGCGCTGACCCGCGGCCCCGTGTTGCTTTTGTGCCGCAGAAGACGCGCGCGCGCGCGGCCTCGAGGGAGCCTCCGGGCACTGACCGCCCGCGACCGACGTGCCGGTGCTGGTGGTGACACGGAGGCCCGTCGGCGGCCACCGCCCGATCGTGCAGGTAGGTAGGTGCGGGGCCGGCGGCCTTCGGAGGGCCCGCGCCCCTCCGAACGGAACCCGCCGCTCCAACGCGGGTCCTGGCCAGGGCCCCCCCACTCCATCTCCCCAACCCGAAGACGGGCGCTTTGGAGATGGGGCCCGCCTTGGGGAAGCACTTGCCGAAACCTTTTCGTCGACAAGTACGTTTTGGGGTTTATTATTATTTTAAAGCATTTTTGTCTTCCTGTTTCCTCCCCCTCCTCCACTTAGCCTTTTCATTAAAAAAAAAAAATGTTAGCAGTGAAAATTGCCCAAAGAGAAGTTGATGAGGGAAGTGTTTTTTAAAACAGAGATCGGGAAATGCCCGTCTTCATCAGACCTTAGCAACTGTTTTTGATGACTCTGGGAGGGCGCCGGGGAGAAGGCGACCTAGAGGGAGTTGATTTCCTCTTTAAGGGGCCGCTCTCCCGGCCCAGAGTTAATTAAGGCCGAGGCGTGGGGGACCCGGAGAAAGGAATCGCCCCACCGGCTGCCCGGGGTCCTCCCGCTGGATCCTTGCAGGACTGGGCAGCTGCTGCCTTTGGTGCTTGGAGGCTGGGAGCCTGCAGGAGAGGCTGCGTGGAGACTTGCTTAGGTGTGAGTCCCATCACCTGCCCACTTCCACTTCAAGTTTTGGAGGGGAGAAGGGTGTCTCTTTCTTTTAATTTATAATCCTTAAGACACATAATTCCCACTCAAACCTTCTTGAAGGTAAGCCCCAAGGTCTCAGTTCAATGTAAAAATAAATTTAGACTTTGAGGAGGGATAGGAGTAGTTGGTATTTTTATTTATTTACTCCCTTTTCAAAGAGTCTTGGTTTTTCTTTTTTGAAGAATGGGTATAGGAAGTGGGGACTAGACTTCAAGGACAAATAGCAAATTAGTAGGTAATAATGAAAGGAAATGAAACGGCCGGTTTCAAATGCTTTGTTACTCATAGCTTTAGTTAGCAAGTGAAACAAGACCGATCCGTAAATAATGCCCGCTGCCTGATCTGTTTTCTCTGCTTGCCATAAATTTCCCCTTGAAAAGTTATGTAGGTATATGGTCAAATTCTGCTGTTGGCCATGGTTTTAACTATCAAACGGAATTAAGTAGAATGACTCTTTGTAAACATTAACCCACTTTATTAGTATGATGCGATAACTTGAACTTCATGTGACTGGTGTTAATTTCAGACAAGTACAGTGTCATGAGTGAAAAGCATACCATTTCAAACTGAAAATCATTTACCACACCTCTCTTTCTGGGGCTGGGGCACAACTGGCTGTGCTCAGAGTTCATTATTGGCAGAACTCAGGGCTGTAAGGGGTACCAGGGATCGAACCTGGGTTGGCCGCAGGCAAAGCAATCACTAGACCCGCCGAACTATCACTCTGGCCCTCATAGCACACCTCTTTTAGGTAAAGTTACTACTTTTTAAGTGTCATTTTAGTTTTTAATTGAGTATTAAACATTGGGAAAAAAAAGAAACATGTTAAGGACTCTTGGTTTGAAATATTCGTGAATTTCCAGCCAGTTGTTGCCACCTTTTGGGGCTAAAGTTGGAGAGAGAGAGGGAGGGAGGGGGAGAGAAAGAGAGAGAGAGAGAGAGAGAGAGAGAGAGAGAGAAGTTTGGGTCTAATCTTGAGTTCTGAAAATCCTTGTATGTGTGTATGGTGTCAAGGTTCTATTTAGGGGGCCATAAGTGGAACCCAGGTTGAAGGTTGAAGGGTCAAGGACCTTAAGTAACCCCTGTAATATCTTTCTAACCCATTTCTGAAAAATGTTTAAGGAAATGTTGGGCTTGAATGACAAAAGACATTTATCAGAGAAGAGTGTTCTTTTTTTTTTTTTTTGTGCTATAATCCTGAAATTGGTACCTTTAAAGAAACAGGATTCCATCCTTTGTAAGCGCAGGATGAGCACTGAAGAGGGAGTTCTTTGAGTTCCTGCTCATCCTCTCTTCATTTTGTTTCTCCCTTGCTCCCTGTTTCCCTTCCCAACGCAACACCTTTGACCCAACTCGACCCCTTGTTCCATAGAGCACAAGGGGGTTCGGCAGGAGTCTCTGGAAGTTCCCGAGAGAAGTTTAGCAGACCCCCTTCTTAAGCTGATGGCTTTGAAGTCTTCTAGTTCAGGGCCAGGAAGATGGCTCAGAGGGTTGGAACTTTGAGACTACCTGAGGCGCCTTGTGTAAAAACTTAAAAGGCAGAGCTCAGCTTCCACGGGGGCTAATGAGGTGGTGAAAGCCTAGACATGAGTGTTTAACAAGCACTGAGCACTCCAGGGGATTTTGCGGCTGGCCGTGGTGCACTGCAGGGTTTTTTAAGGGAACTTTATTTGGGCCTTTGTCCGTGGGCCTCGCCCTTGTCTGCGCGATGGGGTCAGGAGGAAGGGGCTTGTTCCTCCTAAAGGTGCTTTGGGGGACCTTGTGATTAGGATTGAACTCGGCCTCATTCATACACATGAGGAAAGTGCTTTGTGGCTGTGCTATATCCCTGGCCTCCCCTCAGATCATTCTCACGAATATCAAATTGGAGACTTAACGCCTAAGGTGGTTTGGTCCAGATCCACGTCTAAGTTATCAGAATTGGGAAAAGCAAAGCAACTGATACTTGTTTGTTTATGTTTTCGGCCATACCTGGTGATGGCTCAGGACTTACTCCTGGCAGACTCTGGTGACCATTCAGAGTACTGGGGATCAGACCTGGGTGGGTCACGTGTAAGGCACACACCCTATCCACTGTGCCACCATTGCTCGCTGCAGCCCTAAAGAATTAATCTCTGCTACCTAGAAGACAGAGGTTGGAAGTTTGCGGCTCGTAACAGTTTCTGCTTAGATGCACGGGACAGGAGCTGTCTGTGGCCAGCACTTTATTTATCCACATGTAATTTCATAAATGTTTGGTCTTAACTTTGGGAGCAATGTCAGTGGTGCTTGGGCCTGCCAGGGACCCCCAGGGACAAGCCCAGCAGTGCCCAAGGGCCGTGCAGCTCTGGGCATAGACAAGACTTTGGAAATTGACGGCAGTGGTCTCAGGTGTTGGACTAAAACTGGCAACAGGGGACTTCAATTTATTTATTTTTTTGGGAAGGGGTTTGGGGTTACACTCTGGTGCTCAGGGCTTACTCCTGGCTGGTTTGGGGAGAAAATTTGGAGTGCTGGGGGATTGAACCCAGCCCTGCTGTGTGCATGGCAAGTGCCTTACCCGCTGTACTACGGCTCCGGCCCCTTGGATCATTTTTCCAGGCCCCGAGAGGAGAGTGACAGATGCCGCGTGCTGTATGGACCGACCTCCAGGTAGGCTGGCAGAGGCAGCTGCCGCCTGGATGTGATGGTGACCGGGCAGGCTTGGCGTCCTGAGCTCCACTTGGGGAACGATGGACGCGGAAACAAAGCTGAACTTTTGAATTCTCTGAAGTCAGGCTCTGCACCAAATAGACACGAGGAGATGTGGGCTAATTTCATATCGTTCCTTCCCTCCTTCTTCTTGCTCCCGACCCCGGCTGGCACAGGAAGCTGCATTCCCACGCACTTCCCCCGGACAGTCCCTGCTAAGGAGGTGGGTGGTGTTGGCTGCTTTGGGCCTAGCTAAGGCCCTGGAAACTGCTCTGAGGGTGAGGGAAGGGAACAGGCTCTGGGACTTCTGTGGAAGATCCTAAGAACTCACAAGGCCTAAAAAGAGGAAGTGTTGGGCTGGGGCAATAGCACAGCGGGTAGGGCGTTTGTCTTGCACGCGGCTGACCCAGGTTCGATTCCCAGCCTCCCATATGGTCCCCTGAACACCGACAGGAGTGATTCCTGAGTGCAGAGCCAGGAGTAACCCCTGTGCATTGCCGGGTGTGACCCCAAAAAGCAAAAAAAAAAAAGGGTGTGTTGTCGGGGGGTCTCATACACACATTTATGTGATGCAACTCAGGGAGTAAAATCTGGATTCAGTTTCACACCCACGGTAAATAAAGCCCATGCTGCCGCCTCGCGCTTCTACAAAGGATGAAAAACCCCCTGGATGCGGTGTCTGATGTTTTTGTGTGTTACTTTTTGGTCCATCCCCAGTGGTCCCCAAGGGCGATTCCCCATGTGTTGGTTGCCCAGAGGTTGCCGCCTGTGGTGCTGGGGGTGAGGGGGGACGGGGGAGCCTGGTGGTGGGAACCATGGGGTGCCAGGGACCAGACCCGGGCCTTGTCCGCGGAAAGCATGTGCGCTAGGCCTTTGTGCTCTCTCCCAGACCCCTGGGTTGGCACAGTGCTCCCTCCTCTGCTCATGCCCCTCGTCTGTCTTTCCTGTCTGCCCAGGAGCAGGCCTGGCTGCTGCTCACACATGAGCCTCTCACCTTTCGCCCAGACTTCTCAGGTCCTCACTTGCCAACCTCCCTTTCCCCTCCAGCAGCCAGGCAGGGAACTGCCTGCCCCTCCTGAGTTATCAGTTGCTGTAAATAACCCTCTCCCCATCTGCCTGCCTATTAGCAGAGGCCCTGGGTCTGCCTCAGGAGAAAGTGCACTTTCCTGCCTTTTGTTCCCTGGGGTCTAGCTCCAACCTGCTTTTCTGGTTATTTCCTGCTCTGCTTCCATACCTACCAAAGCCTGGTGGGAATACGGTTATAACCCCTAACCCCGGTGCTCTAAGTTTCTCCCTCTGTACCCCCCTTCTGTCACTTACTGGCCTCTCTCAACTGCCTCACTGAATTGCCAGTTTTTTTTGGGGGGGGGGCAGGTCATCCCCCAAGTATTCAAGGACTTACTCCTGGCTTTGGGCTCGGGGATGACTCCTGGAGGGCTCTGGGGACCATATGGGGTGCCAGGGGTGCACATGGTGGACCATGTGCAAGGCTAGCGCCCTGCCCACTGGATTGCCCGCCTGACTGACCTGCTCACTGTCCCCACGGCTCTCCTGCAAGAGGGGAGTCTGCTAACGGGGTCACTTCTTTTGGCCTTCGTATCAAAAACAGTTGTTTTTCCTCTCCCATGCCGGGGATAGAATCCATGCAAGGTGGGCTCTACA